TCGTTCGTATATATGCTAAATAGTAGTGGGCCTAAGATACTTCCTTGAGGGACGCCGTTGGTCACGGACAAAGGCTCAGATAGCGTTGAATGGATTCGTACTACTTGTGTCCTGTTGCTTAGGTAACTACGAAACCATTGGAGAGCGTCTCTGGAAATTCCGACATCTTGCAATTTTAAAATTAACGTGTCGTGATTGACGCTATCGAAAGCTTTGCTCATATCTAATAGGACTACTGCCGTTAACTTCTTTTTGTCAATCGCGTTAAGAATTGTGTCAGTTGTTTCAATCACAGACGTTTCACACGAATGCCATCTCTTGTTACCGCTTTGGCTCTTTGATAGGGTGTCATTCGATTGCAGATACGAGGTGAGCTGATTATGTACTACCCTTTCGCAAACCTTTGATAAGACTGGTGTAAGTGAGATGGGTCTATTATTGTTTGCCTGTTCCTGATCGCCCTCTTTTGGGATTGGTGTAACCACAGCTGTCTTCCATTTTGATGGAAAAACACAGTTTTGAAAGGATGCATTAACGATAGACGTTATTGGGTGAACAATTGGATTAAGACAATCCTTGATGAAACGAATCAGGATTTTGTCTATCCCTGGGGCCTTGTTTGAAGGCATCGCTGCTATTATACGTTCTATTTGTTTATAATCAATGGTACTCAGTGTGAACTGGTCAGAGAGAGCGTATTGTCTCGGTACAAAATAATTCTGATTAAGTGTTAGGTTGCATTCATTAGCCAGGGACGTAATTTTGTCAACAGTGCTCTGACCAACAGATACGAAAAACTGATTAAATTCGTCTGCAACAGCTTTGTCGCTCTTACTGTATGTTCGCTGAGATGAAGATTTGCAGGGGATGCACCATGAATTGCTTTCCAGATATTATTGGTGTTATTTGGATTCCTCTGGATTTGTTGGGCCACAAATTCCTGTTCAGCAATTCTGATTTCCCTCTTTACTTCCTGTCTGAAATATCTGTAGGCAGTCCAAGATAGCGGATCATTTGTTTTCTTTGCTTTCTTACGCCAATCATCCCTGGTCTTCATCAATCCCCGTATGTTGTCTGTTACGCATGGATTTGGTTTACAGCGTGCTTTGAAGGTTTTAATTGGAGCATGGCGGTCGAGTATCTCAGTAAATAGCGAATCAAGTGCATAAAGTTTGTCCTCGACATCGTCGAAAACATCAACTATGGACCACGGTGCCAGTGATACGTCGTTGCTAAAATCAACAGGACTATAGTGTTTAAAACTTCTGGTTGTAATATAGACGGGTTTGGCGCGCGCTTTCTTCAATTTTAAGGTGACATAAACCAAGTCATGGTCGCTAATCGAGCTTTCCATAACCGTAGCCGTTTGAACTTGTCTTGTGTCCGATGCAAGGATAACATCTAGAACTGATTTCGAAGTCTCTGTAACTCGTGTTGGCGTGTTGATCAGTATTGACAAGTTATAGGAACGGCAGAAATTAACAAGGACATTAGCTCCAGGATCGTTGCTATTCTCAAGTCTGCAGTTCAAATCTCCCAATAGATAAATTGGAACATTGAACGACGAGGCATAAATAAAGTTCTCTGTGAGATCTGAATCGAAACAAGATAACGATGCGTCCGGTGGTCTATAGGTTGTACAGACAATGAAAGACTTCATGTTCCTGACGTGGATTTTTAGCCACAGTTGGTGAAAGCCAGAGGCCGTGATAAGAGATATATCGCTCAAGTACTCCGTCCTGTAATTTCGTGAGACATAAGCACATACTCCACCGCCAATCTTCGCTTGTCGGTCGATACGGTAGATAACATAGCCAGGAATTTCTATTTCCAAATCCGTAACTGAACTGTTGAGCCATGTTTCGGATACGGTAAATATGTCAAACTTATTTTCCAGTACCGTTTCCTTTACAAGAACGAAATGCTCACGGCATTTAAGCGAGCGAACGTTAAGATGTGCAATCTTCACATTGCCATTTGACTTTTCAGACTTGTTTCTAATAGAGCTGTTTGCTGGTCCAGGGTTAAGTTCAACATCATGTAACAGTTGTATAACAGGTCTAAAGGTCGAGGTTGAATTGGCATAATAGGCTGTAGTAACGTTTGCTCGTTTCACTCTAATAGTGACATGCACGTGTGCCCGCCATTTTGTATTTTCTATTATGCAGAGTCTCAATCCCAGTTTGCCACTTTAACCGACGTAGAGTGCGGGAAACGTAGACCAAAGTACTCATTTGTAAAAGAGTAGTCATGTTTACCTTTCCTCGAGGTATGAACAAGACACAAGAGGAGTACAAGTCCAATAACTCGGGAGCTCAGAATCACACATCCGCCCTCCTTCATGACGAAATATGTCATATGATTGCTAGGGATACGCAGGTACTGTAGAGGAGCTCACATAGATAGAGGTGGGCGATCCTCCCTCTGACTTAAGAACTGCAACAAGTTTATGGCACAGTTTGAAGCACCTCAGGGTCTCACCAGGCTCATCACATTAGAAACCCTTAGCAAACTAATCTTAGAAGCAGGTGGTTATCAGCAACGTGCACAGATTTCTGAACGCGGGTCATCGCGAGAACTATACCCAATCCGTCATAGACGAAACAAGAAAGCGAGATATTCTTGCTAAAAGAAGGATGTACCAAGACGTTTCAGTCATTGGCTGCCATCCAAATGTACCCTGACAAAGACAAACAAAGTGAAGCCGACAAAAAAATTCCGCCTAGGATAAGATCAAGAGGAAATGTACCAAGACCGGCTTGCCATTCTATAGGGGATGGCTACGTTCAAGGTCGGACCTCAGGTAAAATTTTGACGAACAATCCCTTACTAGCCAAGTGGACTTTGGATGGGCTCTTTGGAAAACACAAAAAACAGCCACCTTTTCTCAGAAAGCAGAGAATTATCTCCTAGACGTGCGCTGGACAAGGGAGGAAACTAGTAAGGCAACCGCCTCTAATGTGACTTCCCAAATATCGAGTTTAAGAGACAACACCAGCCAGAAATGTTGTCTAAGACTGACCGGTTGATACAGCAGTAAATCGCTCGATACTTCAGCCGGTTATCTGCCGTAACAAAAATTGGTTTATTGATGAGGTCCCCCTCTGTAAATGTGAATGAGGACGGAGAGGCCGATGCCAATGATCTAGCTTCAGAATTCGAAACTGACCGCACAAGGCAGAAGATAAGGAGTGGCCTTGCAAAATTTAGACGAAGACTGCAGGAGAGGGTACAGCTGCTATTAAGCTAAAAAAAAGACATTTGCATCTCACTTTTCTTTCATATTTGTTGTCTTTGCTCACGAAACCAACTGGCTATATCTTGGGATTTCATCAAGGGAAATTTGCAGGAAGCCTACTCGTCAAATTACTGCTGGCTCATTCTTATTTAAAAATTTTACAAGGCACGCAATTAAACGCCGGCAACACTCGATCTAGAGAGATGTAGATTTACATGTAGTAGTAGAATGCTTGAAAAAAAATATGTAGATATTTTACGATCGAAGCAGGTAAATAATCATAGAGATCTGCAGATTATTTTGAAATTGTTATCTAGCAGATAGCATGAACAACGCGCTTGAATAATTCCTACGGAGAGTCTTCGGGTCACACAACAGATGTTAGCTTAGCGTAGTTCTGCATGTAAATGTTCGATGGCGGTAAGTGACAACGTCAACACCGTTTTAATTTTATTTTCGGGATAGAAGCACAGTTTTTAGTCCGATAGAACTATTGATATTTGCTCTCGAGCGAGAGCGCAGAATTTCTCGTCTGTAAAAGCCGAAGTTGTAGCACACTGGAACATGTAGTAATATCAACCAACACGCAGCATGTGACTTTAAAATCGCCTAAAATCAGCAATGATGATGCTAAACAATCAAATTATAGACTAATGAATGTTTTGTGCCGTACAAAAGCCATATCTGCTGATTTTAGCAAATCTTCAAAGTAATAAACGACTGAAAAAAGAAACGCTACGATTTTCCCATTGATTTTTCGCCCACATGCATCTCTCTAAACGTGAAATTTTCCATTCCTACAAAAAATCTCGAAGGTTTTTCACATTTTTTACCTTTCTTGATGAATCATCTTGTATAAAGAGCTAAAAAATGTAGGTTTATTTTGTCAAGTGACTGCCTAGAGCAAGAATTGCGTGACAGGTGTAGTTAAGAGAAACTTGTCACAGTCACAGTTTTTAAAAGACATCCAAGACAAAAATACGGTAGTGCCAAAAGATTTTTTTGATGATTTTCAGAGATGAAATGATGGGTTATAAAGGGTGATTAAGATTAGTGTTGTAGCTTTCTGGCAACGGGAGATATTTGACCTCAAAGTTGTCAAATATTTGGATGAATCGAAAAGTCTAAAAACACAGTCGTATATTTGCCTCTGTTGATTGACAAGCAGTCGATCAAACTGACTGATTCTCATGGCGACCATTAACTAAGGATAAAAATGTGTGTGCAAATCCTCAAAGTAATCGGTTAAATACCATCACAGTGAGAGCTTCATACATTTTACCTATTTGAAGCGATTTCCTTGGCGAAAACCAAGAAAAACAGGGGGGGTGGTCTATCTCCCCCCAAGAAAAAACCAAAACAGAAACCAGTTTGTCTTTTTGAGTTTTGGGGTAGACCCTTTAAACTGGCAAAGTTTCATTGAAATCGGTGACATGGCATGTAGCACGACTGCTCTCGTGGACACGCTCTTAACATATCTGACACCTATGACTCATTGAACTTAAGGAACTAAATTATTCATGCTGAAATTTTGCTTTGTATTCCGCATTGAGTTCTTCATCCCGTTCAAAATAATGTTCTCATCATGATTAATGGAAAGTAATGGCGTAGCAGTCAAGAGCTGGATTCAAATGTACATCAGGGTGGTCTCGACCTCTTAATTAAAGTCAATTGAGACAAGATTGAACTCCATTTAACCTCATTTAACTTTAGAGTGTTGAGTTCTTTTTTTATTACTATTATTATAGCACAGCTAACATGTCTAACCTCTCAAAATTGCCTTAAGGAAAGTTGGATTTAACTCAATGGCTGCATCTGCATCCCTTAGTGAATCCTGGTGATTTCCTGTTATTGAAATAAATATCTCTGAGTAGCCATGCATGTTGCAAACCAACTACCATTACTATAATTTTGGGAAAAACTTGTGATGCTCATTGATATCTGGGGTAAGAGGTTACTTCTTTGTATATTTGAGAGGCCAAGATAAGATGTAAATTTTTCCGGGCATGCATTCAAAATCATCACATTTTTCAGAAAACTACTACTGACAACTCAATAGCTTCAAAATAGATAAATAATGCATATTAAAGTTCTCATTATCTTACCAAGTTTAGAATGTGCAATTGCCCTGTTGTTGTGCAGTTTGGCCTTCAGTTCTTTGTCATTGCAGTTCATTTTAATTCCTTTGGTGTAAAAATGAATAGCATCGATGAAATCTCCTTTCTTGAAGGCCTCATTACCCTCATTCCTATAAACATCAGCTGTGGCTGCAAAGAAAAAAATAAAATAATTCGAAAAAAAAAATTAAAAATGGGTGTCGAAGTCTGTGGTCGTAGTTAATAATTATTCGTGTATAGTCAGAGCTGCCAAGATCTGGAGATTTAAAATCTGCAGATTTTCAATAGTTATGATGATGCTAACAATGTAGGTGACAACATGGGTAAGAATAATGATGAGAATTATAAGCATCTCTTAATTCGAGGCAAACCCCTGGAGATGAGAGATTTTGGAGATAGGTTTCCTAAAATTCCTATTCCTGGGAAAAATTAATAAAATGTTCAATTGTCCCACACAATCTTATGTAAAGGCGAAATAATTAGCAATTTCACTTTCAACTAATTGATAAAGCTTTAAAAACTAATTGACCAAGCTTTAAAACCTAGACCTTGAAGCCTTATTTCTTCTGAGCCATTTGTTAGTGAAAGTACACTATCTACCTTAAACACCTCCATATTCAATGATAATTAACACTTGTACTCTACTGGATATTAGATGTGACAGTTTTTATTCAAATTCCCTAACGCCAGTCAGGCAGGGTAACCCCCTCCCCCCCCCGCCCTCTCTTTGGCTTGGATGAAGATCAAATGCCTGTGGGTTGCTCGAGGAGAAAGGAGGGAATGTTGAAGGTTTCAAAGTGATTATGTTTCATTAAAATAGAAAGATGATGGTGATGACGATGATGGTACCTATGATGCAAACTTACAATGGATTTTATATGATGATCAAATAAAGTCTTAACTTATTATAACTTTGTGTTATTGCTTTGAACTGTTAGAAAAGAAAATAGCAAAAGTTTCTGTGTCATAGATCTTCTCAATGAACAGCATATTGTAATCATAGAAGAGAGTCATGACTGGCCAAATATCCTTTAAAGTGGTCATACAGTGTATGTATCCTTTTCCACATCTGCTTGCATTCTTGAAACTGATCGAATAGAAATTGCTCTAACAATAACTGAAGCCGAAGTTGAACCTAGCTCACCTCGTAAAGTGTCCTCATCAAAATCTGGTGCATTTTCTTTTGTCAGGTAAGTCTTCATTTTCACATGGAACTTTAATTGAACTTCTTCCTGTAGCCATAGCAACTGTAAGAAGACTGATGCTTCTTAAAAAGTTGTTCTTTTAAGTCATCCTGGCCTGAAAAAAGGTGATTGAAAATGGTTGTAAACATCAGCTCAACATATTACCCAGTAGCAAAATAAATATTATTTCCCTTCTGAGAATGGGAGGATACATAGACACAAAACCAGAAGCCAGTTAAGAGCTAATGTCAACATGCATCAGACAAACAGCGGCAAGTCGCCCAAATTTGTTTTCTCTCCTACTTTCATATTTTGTAGCCCAATATGTCCCGATAATTGTGGTGTAGGTTTTTTGTGAAAATATATTTTAATTTTGAGAAATGACTTTTTTTTCGTTGGACCGCTCAAATATGCAAATTTTCACTCTGAATATTACCCGAGTTGTGTGACCTCATTTAACGAATTCACTTGACCTCCGGTATTTCTGTTGACACAATCCTTTGTTTTATCATCTAAACTTAATCCCCTGATATTATTGTGGGGCTGGCACAAAAATATTTACTTTTTTGGTGAATATTTTTGTCAGACATACTTTTTTCTATGTCGAAAAGTAGCATCAAAACAAAGACAGTTTAACAATGACCAATAAGACAGAATCTACTGAGCTTCTAGCTTTTAAAATAAAAAGGATGGTTATAAGGTTACTGTAAAAATTTTCTTGTGTAATTGTGTTGTTCTATCGTGAGACGAACTCAAAGTCCAGCAAAATTTATTTGCTAGCGACTATGAAATATACATGGTGTGTCTATTTGTCGCCACCTTTTATTGGCATATGGAGGCATAAATCGCTACAATTTGAAATAAAATCTAACTTAACACTCTTACCTAGTTTATTTATGATTTTATAAGACCAGTAAGCTGTTTCAGTCATTATATTACGCTTGGGTATTACTTCTTGCCGGGAGCCCAGGTTTTACGTTGTGTTTTCCCCTCTCCCAGCTATATCAGAAGCTAGTCACGCAATAATTGATACCAACACAAATGAAAATTTACCCTGTATGAAGATTTTTGTTTATGTTGAATTGACAATATTACATTATGTTACTTTTGTGGTCACTAATCGTTGTTTCAGCGGCAGCGTAACAGTTCAAAGCGGGTTGTTGCTTCAACGCTATTGAAATTTATAGTGTTCTGGCAGGAAAGCATAGCATGATGCTCTGGGAATAAAAACTCCTAGGGGCCTTTTACATAATATCGGAATGAGTTTTGTTCAAGAATGAGTTTATCTCGGTTGCCACATGATACCAGAGTAAAATTATTCGAAACGAGTCATTTCTGAATGAGTTAACTGAGGTTTTCATCCCAGAAAGAAACACTTATTCTGGACGACCTTTTGTACCTGTATAATGTAAACGCGGTACGACACTCATATCTGTATGAATCCTCTGTAGGAGTGAGGGAAGCATAGAAAAGGGAGGTAAATACATTTTTTTACTACCTGTTTTTATAATCTAAATTATCTTGCATGTCAACGTGGCATGAAATTCATTTCATTCCGGAATGAAACCCATTTTGGAATAATGTAAAAAGTACCTTATTGACGGACCATTAGATTTTTGATGCGGGGGGGGGGGTCTTTTGCCAATTGCAAGATTTGTTTTCTTCCATTAAGCCCGTGCTCGATTTTTTCGGGGTTATTGCCCAACACCCCAATACCCCCCCCCGATCAAAAATCTAATGGTCTGTCCCTAAGATGCTATCAGGTCCTACAACTTTTCCTGTGATGAAAGAATTTGGATATATATGTATTACTCGCGTTGTTGCTGTAATTGTTTTTTTTACATTACCGAGCGAATTTCAAGTGATACTGCGGAAGGGCCCTTTACCACTGTGTGCTTAATTACGCGTCCCACCGGATGTCAGGAAGCTCACAAAGTGCTCAGACATTGGTATAGAAAACTCCGCCTCTGTCTGGATTTTTGAAAATTTCAAGATTTAGAAAAGACAGCCTAATTGTCTGAGATAAATTGGGAAAAATAATCATCTGTATGTTGCAAGTTCATATAATTTGTAACAGCAGCAATTGAAATTATTAAACCAGAGGCTGGAGTAGGTAGTTAGGTAAAGTCTGTATTTAAGAGTGGCCCATCCAGGCCTTGAGCTTATAATCCTGGATTCTCACATGAAGCGATTAGGTATTACTACTCTTCCCTGGACATGATAACAGTACACCCCATGGTTACCCCTCCCCCGACTAATTTCTGGTACCCATTTATACTCCTGGGTGGAGAGGGGTACTGTGAGAATAAATTAATTTGCACAAAAACAAAACACATGACCTGGCCAGGTTACAAATGCAGATCTCTTGACCCTGACTCCACCTCACTAATCATAAGGTCACCATGTCTCCACAAGAGGAGAGAGTTTATGCTGAATCCTTTCTCACAAGAAACAACTTTTACAAAACCAAAGTAAAATTCTCTTATTTGATTTTTAAATGGGGAAGCAAAAGAAAAAGAAATATACATATCCCAAAAGTCTGCACACCCCCTCCCCTACTGCCTCTTTCTACTTGCTTTTCTGATGGTAATTTCGTTTCTAAGTATTAATTCACTTTATTTAAGACGACAAGGTAGTTTTCCATTACAAGAAATCCGAGATATCGATCATACTTGACCTCTCCAGGCCTTGGCCAAGAAACAATTATAAAGAAATGTGTGGGATGAAAAATAAATGTTCAAAATCTTCAAGGATCTTTCATCTTCTTGTCAAGATTTTTAGGGGTCTTTTATTTCCTTTCCAAGATCTTTAATTTTCTTGCCAAGATCTTTACGGATCTTCAAAATTTTCCTGCCAAGATCGTTCAGGATCTTGGCAGGAAAGTAAAAGATCCTTGAAGATATTGGCAAGAAAATGAGAGATCTTCAAAGATCTCAACAAGAATTTGGAAGATCCTCAAAGAATTTTCAAAGATCTTTAAAGGATCTTTGAAGTTCTTGTCAAGATTTTTGGAGATCCGGACAAGATCTTCGAAGGTCTTGACAGGAAAATGAAAGATCTTTAAAGATCTTGGCAAGAAAATGAAAGATCCTTGAAATCTTGACAAGAACTTTGAAGATCTTTAAAGGTTCTCATAAAGATCTTGTAGGATCGTTAAAGATCCTTCAAAGATTTTTACCAGAGATGTGTCACAACAAGGCGAAAAATATAGAAAGCGCTCGCCGCATCGGCCTTTTTTTTTTCGTTGTTTTGCTAGCCACTTTGAAAATTTAGCCAGACATTTTAAAGTAGGTAATTCAAATGGTATTTATTATAGTGTATACGTAAATACGCTAGTCATAAAATCAGCAGTCCACTGTTTGCAACTCTGCACAATTATCATGATGGGAAACTTTGTTCGACGATTTCCGCTTGCTGAGAAGTCTTTCCACTTGATACAATTTTACTCCGGTTTACATTTCCTCTTGCCTTTAAAAGCAACAATAATCTACACGATCTTTACTTCTAACCGATCGCGCTATGTTATTTTTGCAACCACACCTTCGGGCATGCTCCGTAGAACTTTGAGTACACCACAGTCAGGGGGTATGGCACTAACGAAATGACTCGGATTAATTGTAATGTTTCCTTTCTTTCATATTGGACTATTTCCTTCTGTCATTTCAAACTTAACTAATAGATAAATATTCGCCACCCAGAATGCCTTCAATGAAAATCACCAACGGGTAGCACTCATGATTTTATGTGGAACAAGCAAATGCAATTAGGCAATCTCATTTCAAATTTTCGTTAAATTTCCGCCTCGGGTTATGACGAACAAGAACGAGGAGCATGTGGTTCACTCGTTAATTTATGTAGGAAAAAAAAAAGAGCAAAGAAGACGATCATTTATTCCAAAATCTATGTGTGAGCTGGATTTCAACTTATTTTCATTTTCTACAGGTGTGCTGATAAATATTCAGTTACGCTGTGTTCTTAAAATAACCTACATTTTTCAAAAGAAGTCAAATGATATGTTAAAGAATTCGTGTTTTGATTTGTCGCCTTAAATTTTTCTCTGAATGAAAATACCTGCCAAGTTTTATATCATTTAATAAGCAAGGAGCGTTTTACATCTCCCCTCGAAACATGTGTTTGTGACAACTGCTTCCTCTTTCAATTTCTATAATGCGAACAGGATATAACACGTTGACGGTAGTTTATAATCTAAATAAAAAGGAAAAAGGCTTCAGATTATCTCGTAACACTCAGTTTTGCCGGTTCTCACTAAATATTCTTCTTAGAAAATAGACTAAGCAGGGACGCAGCACTTTAGATCGATAACATTTTCATAACTTGCTCTTGTCTGCGATCATATGGTCTAGTGTGTTGTTGCCGGCTCACTTTGCTGAAAGGCCTATATGAAACCAGGAACCCACGCCTCATACCGGATTGTCTATATTTTACAATGTAATAAGTTTTTCTTTGTTAATACAAACTGGCAATGTTACTGATGGAACACTGCGAGTGGGTGAGACAAAAATCCATTTGGTCTAATTAATTATTTCAGAGCTTACCTTAAATCGACGTTTCGTCAGCGATGCAGCGTGGAACTCGTCCTTAAGAACCTGTTAAATTTGTAAAATTTTGCAAGACCGAAGATATTTTGATGAGTTCTTCAGAAGGTGACTTATAACACGAACGGTGTCGAGAGGGTACTCTTTTCCTAGTGATCTCACGACGTAGGAATATTTTGATTTTACTCCTCTGAAATTTAGCTCGTGATAACTTAGAAGCAACGCTTCGAGTTGGGGATGGCAAGCGCTAAAAATTTCTCGCTGCCACCAAAGATGTTCACTCGACCGCGACAGGATGCAAATGACTCACTCTTTGTTTTACGACCATACTGATGTTTTTACCATTGCGTGACATTCTCAGGAAAACCAAAAGTTGATGATACACTGTTAACTTTCCCGAGGAAATGAGTCATGAATAGTGAATAATACACGGGCGCGCGTAGATGCGAATTTGGTTGGTGGAATACAATTCAAGCACGTAAAAAATTGACTGATGTTCAT